TTGTTACTGGAGATGTGTAAATATGGTGGTGTCTTTTGCTTGGTGATATAAGTTTTTTTCTTTGATCAGTTGCATTTCCCCAGGCTAAAGTCTTAGGAATTTTCTTCATTTGAACCAGATTAGATTCATTACACAGTTTTGGAGTTCTGAAGCTTTTGATTTTTCAATAGATACAAGTGGTAGAACCTTTGCTAGTCTACTAGTTACTTCATCGAAGTGAGTAAAGTTGCTATGGGAGTAGGGGCTTGTTGCAGTGCACTTCTCAGTCCAATCTCTATGGTTGTGGTTGTGCTAGCTGGCCCTGATAGCGTGACATCTCTAAAAAAAACTTACCTATACCAGGGCTTGAAGGAGATTCCTCAACCTTAGCTTAGCAAAATGGACCCTTCGCTTTCAAATGGTTAGAGATTCAATCCAAGTCCTTTGGCCTTTGCAGCTCTCAACTTAGCAACATGGGGCTTTTGCTTTGGAATGGTTTTGATAGGCCTAGGAAAGAGATTTCCTCTGCCATAAATAGAAAAATTATTTTTTTTAAAAAAAGAGAAAAAGAAAATGTTGTTCATGTGTACATGATGTAGCCCCCCATAAAAAAAACTAACTGAAGGGAATCTTTTTCTTGGGTTCTCTAATCAGATGGATCCCTGGACACTCTTCACATATATTCTATAGACTGAGCCTGCTTCTAATCACAATATCATGAGGTGTGTTATATCAAGTTTGTAGCATATACACAAACACAAACATGCGACATGCACATACAACTTCCTAAACCTCAAAAGCTTCACTTCACTTGGTACATACTACATACATACCTGGGTCCAAATTTTAATTGGTCTTATTCGGATAACTATCAAAACAAATTGTGGAGACAAGACAATATTGGTAACAGGAGCCGGCTTTCACCATGTCCATTGTCCATGGGTTTTGGTTAATAAGGAAATATTTGGTAAATATATATGTGCTATGCTGGCCAGTATAAAAATATGTCTGGGACCGGACCGACTTGCATAGAAATGACACATGTTAACACATTTCTCAAGGTGAAAGCACTAGCATATAGTTGGAGGTCACGCCCTCGTGTTCTAAAATTGCAACTCACACAAACACACTCAGGAACTCTAACCCCCCTTGTTTGTTTAATTTATTAATATCTTCATATATTGTTAAAAGCTGAAATGTTTTGAGTAATTCTATGTGAAATCACTTGTAAATGTCCTGCAGGCTCTTAATTTGATGCATTCTCGCGATGCTCTTCATGCCTCGAAAACAACTATCCCTTGCATGCTAGCTTCTAACCCTCTTTATAGTAAGTATCGAACATAGATACGGCAAATTATCACGTGGTTATAAAATAATAAGAAGTAAACAAGAAAAATTGTAACAACCGAATAGTCAAATTCTACGGAACTTTGAAGGCATCAAATTTGATATCAAAATTGAAAGGATGAATAGATCTTGAAGAGATGATTCAAGACCCTGATGATCATATTGAAGTGTTTGATGTCTGAATATTCTGCTGTATACAAAGACACATTTTTGTTTTTGGCGGAACCCTGAAAATTTATATTGAGGGTGAGAATCGAATCTCTAACTGATCAGCAGATCTTTGCAGCTCGGATTGACCCTATTAATTATCTAATGATATTTTCACTTACTGTATGTGTTGGCTTGTTTTGGTAACATTTAAATAAAAAATTACAGCTAATATCTGACTATTCAACCTAATCTTTTTACTGTTCAACTTGGTTAAGCTTGTTGAAAGTAAGATTTCCATGAAGATTATGCACTAGTACCAACATATCTACCTTGCAAAATGCCAAAAAAAAAAGAGTACAATTATAATTGGTTTTAGTACTGCTGAAGCTGAATAGTACTGTTTGATCTTTGACCTTCCTCTCACTTAAACATATCTCATAGTGATCCTGAACTAATTAAACTTTGCAATTAATAATTTATAAAAGTACTCTAGATTGTTCTCTACTCTGATCATATACTACAAACGATATCTAAACTACTCTAATTAATTTACGAGATGGGAGAATCGAACTCGAGTGCAAGAGGTGTGATATGCACATTGCCGTGACCAAACTAACCTATTCCACGTATGCAAGAAGAGTAATGTTAATGACTCATCTTTGAGCACCTTATCTAATGACTTCGTTGCATGCATGCCAGTAGAGATATATCATACACAAAAATCAAAAACCCAAATTCATGTTTCAAATTTCCTATTTGATGAAGTTTCATTTAAAATGCATCAACGTACGGTCTTAAGGCCTGCTAACCTCTACAGATTCAGTTTAATTAACTCGTGAAACCACATTCAAAGTTTTGAAAACCGAAAACGCTGTCTTCCTTTGAATAGTTTATTCATTAGATTATTTTGAGTTTTGTGTTCTTCCAAGTCCTGTCTGTACCCACGAGAAATATTTTATGCAGGTAGTCTGAACCCTAGCTTTTGACTTGGGTTTGAACTCTCTCTATAAAGCCCACATTAGTCTCTCCAACTTTCCTCTCTTTTTGTTGTCAATCTAAAGATCACTACACTTTCTCTAGCTAGAAATTAAGAAGGAAACTACACAAAGATGCTACAGCTTACAAGCTTCATACTAGGGCTTCTTTTTGTTATGCATGCTCTAGGGCACTTTACTACTGCTGCACATGCTCTTCAAGGTAGATATACACTAGTAGATAAATAGCCTTTCTCTCATATTATAGCTAGGGCTAGGGATTTCTCATAAAATTTTGGGAGGATTTTCTAATGATTACAATCTTGTTTTTTTGTAGGTAAAGAAGAGCTTTCTATGACTGGGAAACTTGTAATACTCTCTGGTCATAAGGTACGAGTACTTCTTATTCCATGATTTGTTTGTGCTATTATTTAAGTTTAGTCCTCGGGAAGCTTCTTGCACTCGTCAAGTAACACTACGCTATAATCGCGTTGTTATTTGCACTTCTACACAACAGTGCAAGAAGCTTGTCGAGGAGTGTGAATAGCGTTTCTCTTTGTTCTATATATGATTAAGTATAATTTTTGATATATAAGCTAATTACCGTATAAGTATGCAGGAGCCAAATACGGATGGGGTTTCAATAGCTGGGTCAAGGATCATAGGGCTTGGAGGAAGAAAAATGGCGGCACACAAAGTGTTGAGGAAATTAGAGCCTGCAAGACCAGCTAGCCAGCTGAATGGAGAGACTACTTCATCAAAGAATTCAGGTGCAACCCGTAGTTCTGAGGGAAATTGTGACTTTGAAGGAAAGGGAGATCTAAATGTAAAATGTAAACACGGAGATTATAAAAGTAAAACTAGCCCTTCTAGTGCTAAGAAGTACTTCAAAGCAGCTCATGATTTTATAGCTTTTGGTGCTGATTATCACGGGCCTGCACGCCATCCTCCAAAACACAATTGAGAAAATCATTGAAACCCAAGTTCGATCTTAGATCAGTCTTCACGGTCTTGTTGTTGCCAGATGCTCTAGTGAAAACATATGTGTGTGATAGATATATATCATGTAGTAGCTAGCTAGCTAGTGTAGTTGTATGTATTAGTATTCAGAAAAAGATATATACATATATGTTGGAAGGGATTTCTCGCTCTGATGCTTAATGGATGCAAATATTACTTTTGTTTTCTTGGAACCAAATTTTGAGATGTTGATTTTGATGAGCAAGAAGGTTAATAATAATAATGGTTCATGTTAGACATTTCTTGTCTGATTGCAGGTAAGGACAGTAAAGCTTCAAGTAACTCCCATGGAGAACCTCAAAACATAACGAACCAACAGGTCTCCTCTCTCTCTCTCTCTCTCTCTCTCTCTCTCTCTCTCTCTCTCTCTCTCTCTCTCTCTCTCTCTCTCTCTCTCTCTCTCTCTCTCTCTCTCTCTCTCTCTCTCTCTCTCTCTCTCTCTCTCTCTCTCTCTCTCTCTCTCTCTCTCTCACACACACACAAACACACAAACTTTCATAAATCAAATTTTGATATGCATGTAGTAGCTAGTACACTTAAACAAAGAGGATTTTCTTTACCATCAGAAAAGCCCCACCTTTTGCCTTTTAATTTGGTGCTAATTTGGTTATGTTCATACACATTTTCCAGGCCGATATCAAGATATTGGAGCCAACAACACTGAAGGCTGCTGCCAATAGTTTTGGAATTCCCAGAGTTCTTAAGCCAAAGCACTCTCAAGATTCCAAGACAAAGCAGCCAATTATCAGAGCTCATCAAAAGACTATTAATTATGATGATACTGATGATCATCATAAGTTGGCAGATGAAGCAAGAAGGCTTCTTAAGGCAACAAGAGAGATAGTAAACCTGATGCATAAAGATTATCATGGAATGGGTCGCCGCAAGCCGCCCATAAACAATCATGAGCCACAGCACTGAGATTGAGTCTGTCTAAAACTGGTTTAGCTATATATCTAGGCTCACAATTTTGCCCCCTTCCCCCCACTAGGAATATTTAGTGATCAGTCCCTTATAGCTAGCCTATACAGAATATGGTGTGTGCTTGTTTAATTTATTTGTTTTCTTTTTTTGATCAAGCATAGGAACTTTAACAAGTAGTTAACTGCTGTGTACATTAAGTTTGCCTTCATACAGCTAGCCTCTGTGAAGTAATGATATGTATATCATAATTTTGTGCCCTCTTCCTCCTTTATATAATCTAATTTATTGTTTTTTCCTTATGCAAAACATGGTAAAAGGTAAAACATGTCTTTATCTCAGCCTTAAAATTCCACAAATGAATTTGGTAATTGTGTGTTTGGATCAACATCAGTTGCTCCTCCTAAAATATTAATGGATGGTCACATGCTTGTGGGCTCTGGATCTTCAATATTTATTTATCAATTCACTGGCAAGTTTAAACATTTAGTTTATAAGCTCTGCTGCAGGAGAGTACAATATTATTTCCATGATTCCATTAACCAAGAGCCTTGACAGAGCTAGCTCGATAGGTAATCAATCTTAATCAGTACAACCTTAATTAAAAAAGGACAAACTAATCCCATTTTTTAAATTGACCTTGCTGATGGACTGATGCATAATGGATTATGTTATACAATTACATTTCTACAAGTTGCTTGATGTTTAAGGGGGTGCAAACAGTTGAATCATTGAAGCAGCCTGTAGCTATAACTGAGCACACAGATTCAGTAAGGTGGAAAGCATCCCAGAAGAAGTGATTGTTTGGTTCTAAGCATGGTGCAAGCAATGGAATGCACCCTGAAGTCCCATTTGCCCAAGTAGTGCAGCATGGATTGCTTCCATCCATTAGCCCTGCTCGATCGATACATATCTCATCAACGTTGAATCGATTAACAAGAAGAAAAATGAGAGAAAGAATGAGACAACTTGGTTTTTGAAGTTTACCATATTTAACAGGACTTGTGATTGCATCATAGCCGATCGAATTAGCTCGACCAAGAACAAAGAAAGAACCTTGGAAAGTGGTTGTCAAATTTGCCAGCATCTCACGAAGTTTTTCATTAAAAGTTGTGGCTAGTTCGTTTGTATCTTCCACACAGTTTCCACTGTGGTTATGTGTCTTTGCAATTGATGGGATGCATCCAAGGGGACCAATTTCAAACATGATTATTTTCCTGGCTCCCAAATTGTACATCCTCTGCACTTTTGCAATAAGAACAACAAGCTGATCATCCATTTTAACATTGAATGAGCAGAGAGGGAAGGGATGAGAGTTTGGTACCTCCAAATGGTTAGCAAGCTCATCCATTAAGAGTTGTGCAAATTATTGAGGAGAGTAGCGTTGGCTTGTATCGAACGCTTTGGTGTCAAGGTAGTTAATGATGAAATCATTGCTACCAATAGAAAACAGAAATATAGACTTGGATAGGTACTGCAGAAGATCATGGGGATTTTGGAACTGTCCTGGCAAGTCTGACTTCACCGTTCTTTGAAACAAATCTATCTGGTCTTTTAGGTTCAAGCATTTCCCCTGTAAAAGAACACCAAATAGAAAAGGAAAGAAACTCATACTATAAAACTATATATAGCTACCCTACTATAGAAAATTCATGCATGGTGGGTGCATGAACAATAAAGATTGGCAGGATTGAATATCTAGAACTGGTTCTTCACGGACTCATGAGTCATGACTATCTTACAAATTGGCTTCCGGTTTCGGGTAGAATGCCACAAGAACCAGATGCATAATTCAGGCCTTTAAGTGCTGTGTTTGATCCACGTATGCTCATGTATGGTGGAGGATATGGTAGCTCAAGAAATTCAGCTTAACAAAAAAGACAACACAGATACCATAGGTACAAAGTTACATGAACTGAAACCATAGAGTCAATAATATCCATGAACTGAAACCAAACCAAAGTTACAAGTACTTGTTTTGGGCAATAATAATATCACCTATAAAATCTGCCACTGTTCTGCCATTGGTAAATCTTCCAGTGACTCCCTTGACAAAATTCACCCCATAAGGCAAGTAATCTGCCTTACAAACAGTTGGTAAAAAATTATTGTTACCACTGTCAAACAAAGAATCCCCAAACACATACAATGCTGGTGCAATTGGCAAACCATGAATCTGCAGTGAATGAAAGTGCAAGGAAATTGTGAACAAGAAAATAAGTGAAATTGGTTTCATTCTCATGTTCTGCAACATTGCTTTGATGCAAATGCTGAATTTGCTGCTAGTGCTCTGTGTGTGTGTGTATATATATATACAATTTGTTGGGAGGAAAATGCTGATTGTCCAGTCACATGGAAGATCAATTGGTGTGAGCTTTTAGTGAGGTGGGGATTTCGGTTTGTTGGAAAGTGATTGAATCAAGGCAGTGGCCTAATTGTACAACCCTATTCTCTTTTTTTTTTTTTTTTTTCTGGGGTTGAAAGTTGCTTTATGAATTTAAGGGGTTCAACTTCACATCTCATGTGACCACAGCAGCTCCAAAGCTAACTGATGCTGCAAATTTTGGTTTTGGGGTCATGGATTGCGCCTACTGATTAGTGCTGATCGTTTGTTCTGATATACGTTCCAATAATTGGGCAATATTTACACGAGAATGAAACTGAGGTAATGAGCATGAAAAATGATGATCATTATCTGATTAGAAACCACTTGATTGGGTTTCCATGGGAAAGTTTAGACTAAATCCGTCTTTATGATTGGGCTTCCATCCATGAAAGCCCCATTTTTGAAGCGTGCCTTGATGGGCTATTGGCATGAGCCCAAAGCTCTCACATTGGGGCATTGAAGCTAAAAATTAGATCATAAACCATTTGTGAATAAAAAATTGTCCAAGTAGAGTTTGTAGCTTAGAGTCATTCTATAGCGAGGGCCTCATCTAAGGCCCTTCGATGAAGCCCTGTCTATTAAGCATTGGATCAAACTAATCAATTTGATCAAACGACTAATTAATTCGATTTAATGATTAAGAGATAGGGCTTTATCTTAGGGCCTTAGTAAGGCAAGAGCGAGAAGAACGAAAGAGATATCTAAGAGAAAAATGGCTTCTGAGGTAGTGACAATGAATCTGGCTTTTCATCACATTTTGCAAGCACGTAAAAATCTCGTTAAATGCGAGCACTAGCTAGGTTTAACATAGATCTCAACATAAATATGGATAATGTACTTACTCGAAAAACACCAGTCTGTTAATATCAGCAACTAAATGTTGATGTGTGGACTTCCTGAATTGATGATATCATTTTGACAGCCACATAGTATGAAGAAACAAAGGTACCACAAAAAAATTCTTGCTTTTTTGATACTCTCCTGTACTTTTCCGATACTTTAAAGTTCTCAATACCATACACGAGGGGACTAATTACTTGAGAAATTAGATTTATGTAGAGCACATTAACTAGATTTATGTCAAAACTTAAACCTATGGTAAATGAAATGGGGTATGTGCATGTAGATCCGGTGAAAAATCTGAATCTTATCAGAAGAGGCTCTCTATCGGCAGTGAATTTGATCAGAGTCTCCTCTCTTATGAGTTCAAATTTTAAACACCAGTGTTGCTATTACGTGAGATATTTTGTTTTAATTTTATTGCCTATTTCTTATTAATATTTGTTAGAATTGGTACGATTTGTTAGAATTGTTCATTAGCTTTTTTATTTAGGGTAATTATAATTTTGATCACTAGGAATAGGATTAAGGTTGAATTTAATTTTGATCACTATATTGTTCACGTTTGTTTAAGCAGCATTGTGTTTCAGCCTTTAGAAATACATTAATTATGTTCTTATTTGATCTAAAGTCCACTTATACGAGAATCTCTTGAATAAATGCGAGATGGTGGAATTACAGCATTGTGTTTCAGCCTTAAATTCTAGAAAGAGTGATTAAGAACAATTATCCCTGCATCGAGGTCTAGTTTTCAAATATCTAATATTAATAAAATAAAATTAAAAAAGTCGAAATTCGTTCACGGTCAATATTGGATCAAACAATAGGGGCTCATAGCACGGGTGAACCAAAGATTTTACCAACCCAATAGTGAAATCCTCCTTAAAATTGAGGAGCTCCTCTTTACGACCAATATGATTTTGACATTTGTCAAACTTTTAAATATATATTTTTTCTTTTCTATTAAAATTTTGTCGATATTGCTTAAATTTGACAAGTATCAAAACTTCATTGGTTTCAAGAAAGAACTCCTCCTCAAATTTAAATAGTCAAGCCATGCAGGTCTAACCAATCCTCTTTTCAGCTCTACCTAACCCTGCCAAGAATATTAGTCTACGTAGCTTTAACCAATCCTCCTCAATAGTTGAATGTTTGGGACAATATATATGCCAAGTCATGATACTCTTTATATATAAAAATTATATAAAATATGTAAGAGAATAGAAAAACAACTCAAAAATCACATTATTTTCTTTAGCTGTATTTCTCTTTGTATTTACAATTAGTTTCATCTCTCTTTTTATCTTCGTTTTCTTGGTTCAAACAGATTACAGATTTGGGGAAGAAAGAACAACAAGAAATGATGGATTTGTTGGAAAAAATGGAATGAATTATTGAAGTTAGGGGACCGCACCGAATATCTGTTCCCATGAGCCCACTTAGACCATGTCAACCCACCCCAAAAAATATCGTTTTCATTGAGCATAATTATGCATTAAGTAGCATGAGATAACCCACCTGCTAATCCAAGTTGAAGCAGCCAACGATGGGGGCTTACACATGCAAGCATGTAAGACATTTTTCTTCATTATCATTGACACTATTACCATTATTATTATTTTTAAAAAAATTCAATTAAGGTATGTATATCAATGTATCGATATTTCAAACTAATCATACATTGTCGCACATTATCCTACATTTTAACTTTCAGACATTGCAGTTGGTTCGGGATTAACTTGAAATATTATTGGCATTTTAACTTTCCACCAAGACCATGGAATTTCTTTTGTGGACCATGAGCTCAAAGCGACAAATTGACCCAAATAAACAAAAAGAAAGCATAAGAATTAAAGGCGGCCAACATCTGCATTAACGAGGCATTGGTTTTTGGTACGGCTGAATAAGACCGATGTGTAGTTTACAACTTTACCGGCTTTTGCTTTGCACTATGTGATATAATTCAATTTAATTTTGTTAGGCCTAGCATTATATTATTATCTTTCCCTTTAAGGCCTCAACAGAACACTTTAACCACTTAACGTTAAGCCCATAAAAAATCCGCCTTTATCTTTTTATTCCATCAACTCCCAGTCCAACTCAGCCACTTGTGTTTTTCCTTCAGTTTCTTCTCTGGCTGTTTACAGTTTCTTTTCTTCAACTGGGTCTCTGTAACAACAATCAGCAGAAGAGTCAACGAAACTGATCCCATCAACTTCTCTTTGGGTTTTCAGCTGATAAGGTATGTGTGCTCTTCATCAATTCATGGGTCTTTCTTGATTTTTAGAATTTCTGCTTATTTGTGTCTTTTGGCTGGTTCTGATGCCTGGGCTCATGTGTTCTGGTTTTGATCATAGAGCATGATATATGGTTGTGGGAATTTGGAAGGTTGATAGTTAATTTCAATATATCTATGTTGAATTATTGCTTCTTTTTTTTTTAAATGCAAATAAGAGTCTACCATTTATGCCAACTTCTGCGTCAAGTCTTGGTTGGCAGTACGCATACAAAGAAAGAAAGCATCTTAACATGTGGTAATAAAGTTAGTAGAAAACAAAGAAAAAAAAAGGTTCTTTTGCAGTTTTTGAGTTTCTTTACTTATGCCCAGTTGATAGTATGCTTATCCTGTGGCTCTATCTTTAGTGAAGCAAGCAAGACACAATTTTTATGGATAAAAATGGTGGATATATTATGTCTACTAAAAAAGTTACACAATTTATATCTGGAAAGTGCACCGAGTTCGTTGTGAATCAGGCAATGTGAGGAAGTAACAGATCGTACATTTATTTCAGAAGGATATGTAGCATTCTAACTATTGTGGTTTTCATATTGTTAATCAAATATTATCATGTTTCCATTATCAATAACCCAATCGGATTTTGAATTCCACTTGTCATGCTAATCCATCATTTCTGGAACAAGTTTACATAATGTGTTTTGCCCATCTTATGACAGATAACCTGCGGCGATTTTGCCCTGCAAGATGTTCTCATTGCCTGAATTTCATAAGAGACCAAAGAATGGTTCATAAAACTGATCTTCTTGTTATCATCGGCATCTCTGTTGGTGTAGCCCTTGGAATTTTGATAGCTTCACTCATATTTTTTGGCATAAGGTGGTATAGAAAGCGTGCTCATCTTCGTCGATGTGCTAATGAGCGTAGTTTTACAACTCTTCCGATACAGGCAAATGGCTTAGGTACAAGCACTGACTATAGCGCATCTCTTTCAACTTCCAAAGGTATTCAAGTATCCGAGAACCTTCAAAAGAATTCTCCGCGCTCTTGGTGGAATCATCAAAACAAAGATCGATTTTTTTCTGCGCCAGGCGTACTTAGATACTCTTACAAGTATGTTGAACCTTCTGCGCTATAGAAAAATTACATAATGCTGTTACAGTTTATATTTCTCCATTTGGTGGGTACTTTTTTGTAAAAAATATTCTATTAGGTTAATAGTAGAACCTATACTCAGACCCTGTGAGGTACTGAGTTGATATGCTATGATATATGGTGCATCTAATGTATGTTATACTTTTCAGAGATATACAGAAGGCTACTCAAAATTTTACTACCCTTCTGGGACAAGGTTCTTTTGGTCCGGTGTATAAAGCAAAAATGGCTGCTGGAGAGGTAGTAGCTGTGAAAGTGCTTGCTTCCAATTCTAAGCAGGGAGAGAAAGAGTTCCAAACAGAGGTAAACGCTACATCAAGTAAATCCTGTGAGAAACCATCTTCCTTCATGCCCATAGAATTGATACAAAAATACTCTCACGTATGTTGTAGAATTCACAACCAAAAATGATTTCTTTGCTCTTATGGTCCAAAGAATACATAAAACGGAATTTAACATTTTCAACATTTTACTCAAAAGCTTGGAACGATAATAAAAAACACTGCAATTCTGGACATGAATGCAACAAGACAGTCCTCAGGAGTCCAGTTTCTGGTTTCCAAATTGACAATCTGACCAGTTATCACTGGTTGACTTATGATTGGCCGTCTCAATGTTTATATCCCACAAAACAGGTTGAGTTTCCATTAATTTATGTGGTCTTGCTGCAGGTATCTCTGCTAGGAAGACTGCATCATCGCAATCTAGTGAATCTACTAGGATATTGTGTAGACAAGGGGCAGCATATGTTAATCTACGAGTTCATGAGTAATGGCAGCTTATCAAATCTTCTGTACAGTAAGTTCAGATGCTCCTGTTTATATCCATATCAAAAATCAAGATTTCTCTGTGTTGTAGTAACTACATGCTAGGTGATATCTAATTCAAATGGAAGGTGGAAAAATTTACTGAGTCTATGTTGCTTGGTAGTTCCAAATCGTTTATTTCACCTAGAGACATCTCTGTATCTTTTTTTTGTTTCAGTAACTGAGAACTTGACTAAAACTTCTTTTCGGAAGCCTTTTGGGTTGATTTAAGAATCATCTTCATGTAGCTGAAGAACAACAGGTCTTGAGCTGGGATGAAAGGCTACAAATTGCTCTGGATATTTCACATGGAATTGAGTACCTTCATGAAGGGGTAGGATATATACTGTATCCTTGTTTTGTTAGTGAACAATTAATTTTGTTCACCTCTCTCATATGAAGTTTATTTGAACAGGCAGTCCCACCAGTCATACATCGTGATTTAAAGTCTGCTAATATACTTTTAGACCAGTCAATGAGAGCTAAGGTAAGAAAATAACCGTATAGGATGCATGCTAGGCAGCTGGCACATGCATAGTAGTTAATAGTGAATGTTATCATATTTATGTTTTCATTTCAATCTGTCTTCACCTTCTCCTGTGCATTAGGTTGCTGATTTTGGATTGTCTAAGGAAGAGGTTTTTGATGGCCGGAATTCTGGCCTAAAAGGTACTTATGGCTACATAGACCCAGAATACATATCTACAAACCAGTTCACAATGAAGAGCGACATCTACAGTTTTGGAATTATCATATTTGAGCTAATAACAGCCATCCACCCTCACCAAAACTTAATGGAATATGTTAATCTTGTGAGTTTCATGCACTCTGCAACATAAACATATTGTTTACACATAATTCTGTCGCGAAGCTCTTTTAACTTTTTTCTCTTTTTCCTGTAAGGCTGCTATGGCCCCAGATGGTGTAGATGAAATACTTGATAAGCAACTAGTTGGAGAGTGCAATCTTGACGAAGTGAGGAGGCTAGCGAGAATCGCACACAAATGCTTAGAGCAATTACCAAGAAAGAGACCTTCTATAGGAGAAGTTTCACAGGGTATATTGAAGATAAAACAAAGGCGTCTTGCCAAAGAAGATACCATGTCTTTTGCAGGCGAAGAATTTTCGAGGGCTGTAAGCCGAATAGAGATTCAGCAGGTGGAGCTGAGTAGGATAGCTAGCGTGAAAGATAGAGCGACTGAATGACCAATAAGAATTTTGCTTCCTTTCAAGCTTGTCTTGGAAAATGTTGTTAATAACATACAATATAAAATATACAGGCCACAGAAAATGAGCAATTTCTGATTTTATGGTCAGTGGCGGAAGACATTTCTTGGGGTGCTAAGCAGCTTATATTGGTTTTTTCTGGTTACGAATTCGATCCTGGAAACGTTTTTGGGTGAACACAATGCAAGGAAAAATCAAGTTTTTAAGTTTAAGCCCATCGTTCAATTTTGTTATTATTAAGATATGCAAATTAACCATAATAACGGAGGAGAAAGCACTTAAGTCACCACCTAATAACAAGGGGTCAAAAAACCTTCACATGCATTGCATCTTCAACCTCATCAGATAGTTTATATATACAAAACGCTGTTCCTTCTGCCATTTGGTATGGCAGATTTATTCACTCTCTCTACACAGTCGACACAACGTGGAAGACAAAAAAGACTAGGGAATTGAAACATACGGTTCTCGCCTCCATTGGCCGACTCCCAAGGGTAAGACTCAGGACGCCAGCAGTCCCACAAATAAACTTGTGAAAGGAGTGAAAAAAAACAAATAACACCCCGACCCAGGTATCAAACCCTACAACAAGTACTCTAATAACTCCAATTTATTTATCTAACAATATTCCCTCAAAACTGGCATGAAGTCCCCAACCTCTGTCTCTGCCTCTGACCCACATTCCCTGCTTTGCGATTTGCAAAAGCAGGGCGCAGCAATCTCTGGAAATTCTCAAGAAACCTCATCCATTCCTCTTCATTCATATCTGCCAACATCACGAAATTACTGCTCATGGGCCTCTGCTCATTCACGCTCCTATTTCCTGAGGATGTGCCAGCCAAATAGCCGTTCTTTTGCATTGAGCCTAGGTGTCGCCAACTCTTCTCACCAATGCTGATGTTTTTCAATGATGTTGACAGCTTTGAAACATTTGGAATCCGATCCTGCACTACAATAACACAGTCATCCGACCTTGGAGGTAACTCATTTCCCTCGTGCCCGTCCATGCCCTCCTCCACACTCTCCTCTAGTTTGGATAGTAAATATCTTCCATTTCCACCTTTTGATCCAAAACGGAAAATCCTTTCAGTTTTCATTTTCTCTTCTGTAGTTGGAGCCAAATCCAGCTCCTCCTCCCCACAGTCTAGCTCAAACTGAAACTCCTCCCTGCCAGCTTTTGGCTCAAAATAAGATATTTCCTCATCCAACAGTGTCTTTGCTTCAATGCATATTATCTCGAGTTCACTTGGCTCCTCCTCATGGCCCCGATATTCCCTACTCATCATCTCACCAATCTCAGAAAGACAGAGGCCAAAGGCTGCAGCTTCCTTGAGAAAAATAGTGCAAAGAACCAAGACTCGGAGGCATGCCTCTCGAATCATGGGCAGCTCCATTCTGAGCATATCAGAGTCCTTAAAAGGGTCAAGTTTATTTATATATGCAAGCTCATCATCTGAGAAAGGAATTGATGCCTGAGGCCAGTGTATCCACTCAAAGTATGGATCCTCTAAGCTTTCAGGTAGACAAAGGCCATGATCAATGGGTACAAGCTCTACCTGACCAAACCTCCCACCACCATCAAGCTTCCTAACCAGAAGGTTCCCTGCATGCCTGTCTGTGTTAAGAATCCGAATATCTAGAATCCCTATTCTATGCACAGCAGCAACAGGGAAGCTGGAAGTCCCATGATCACTGGCATCAAAATCATGAGGAATGAATTGCTGCAGTGATGCAATCTTACTTGCTTGCTTTCCGTTTCGATGCACATTACCCTTCACTCCATCATTCACATTAAAAACTGAATGTGTGATCTTCACAAGAGCAGTGTCAGGCACATTAGCAAAATTATTGTAATCAAGTAGGAAACCTGCAACTTCTCTGAAACCTGTCTCCCCAACCCGTACTGAACGTTTGAGACCTGGTTGTCCAAGTGCTTTCCCAACAAAACCTTTTGGGTTGTTTGGAGCATAAGGTTCCTCATCCGTCGGTTTCACAATGGCAATATTTTCACCACTGCAATTTCTAAAGTAATATGCACCTCCAAGCCCACCGTGAACAGGAACTGGATCAATGCCATTTTTTATTGCCTTCACAATATCCACAACTAATTGTTTTGTTCTGGCAAATTGATCCGAGTACCCCAGTACCTCAATTGGACCACTTTGATCCCTCTGCTGAAGATCCTTCCCAGTTGGCGAGAGACAGGGGGTAGACGAGCTTCTGTGCAAGAAGTTCCGGGTGAGAAGAAGCGGAGAATCATTTCGAACAATGCTGAGATCATTCTTCAACACCATGTCACCACATACCAATGAACTCTCATCAGTTGGGACATTAAGTGCAAGCCGTAATTTCCTCTTCACTGTGTGGACATTGTCACCCCTATCTAGCTCTATGCCCAAAACAGAACCACTTTCAGTCTGCACAAACACACGTCTCTTGCCAGAATTTTTTCTTTCCAATGTCTTTTTCCCATGGTACTCACCATTAAGAGGTCCTTTGAAGGTTGCAACTGCCATCTGGTTATGTACAGGTTTACCCAATTCAGGAGACATGAAAGGAAGCAGAGAAGTGGCAAGTTCCAACGCCGGCAGCAGAGGCAGCAGCAGCAGAGAGCTTCTCTCTCACGCAGACGCCAAACTCGAATGCCGGCACTAATTGAAGGAAAATGTTTGTAATGTAGACAATCATAATCAGACTAGTAGAAGACAACTGATTTTCACACTGGAAAAGCTATAACGAAGAAGTCACCCACTTTGCCAATTTGCTACATTGCAGAGGCCACCTGATAATGACACTGGCTGGCTAGCTATTCCAGAATAACACATTCATTAGATAATCTTTTAAAGAATAGTGATTTACAAAGAAATAAAAGTATAAGATAAATCTTCTTTTTACATCTGTTTTTTCCAATCCCTAATACTTGAAGAGTTTGAAAGGAAACAAATAGACGTCCTTATCTGAAATCGCTCATTTGGTGACCCGGTACATACATCCATATTTACAATCATGCACGCACACACACACACACACGATTTTTCTTTTTACATCTGTTTCTTCCAATCCCTAATACTTGATGAGTTTGAAAGGAAACAAATAGACGTATTTACACACACACACACACACACACACACACACACACACACACACACACACACACACACACACACACACACACACACACACACACACACACACACACACACACACACACACACACACACACACACACACACACACACACACACACACACACACACACACACACACACACACACACACACACACACACACACACACACACACACACACACACACACACACACACACACACACACACACACACACACACACACACACACACACACACACACACACACACACACACACACACACACACACACACACACACACACACACACACACACACACACACACACACACACACACACACACACACACACACACACACACACACACACACACACACACACACACACACACACACACACACACACACACACACACACACACACACACACACACACACACACACACACACACACACACACACACACACACACACACACACACACACACACACACACACACACACACACACACACACACACACACACACACACACACACACACACACACACACACACACACACACACACACACACACACACACACACACACACACAGAGGTATATATGTGTGAAAAAAAGGGAATCTTTTTCTCGGAAAATTCTTATGACAAAAAGCAGTCTGATCATCAACTTGAAACCCAAATTACAACGCCAAGAATCAACTTTAAATTTCTTGTCCATTCAAATCTCCTACTCAAAGCTCTTCACTTTTTTTTTTCTCCAAAATTTCTCCTCCGAATCAGTAATTTAAAAAGTGCTGGGAATATTTTAACTTGTCTCATACATAAAACTTAACGAAAAAAGCACAAAACATAAATAAAAAAACAATGCCATAAGAATAATACAAATAATCGAAATTGATCCCAAACTCTACCGTAACAATAGGACACAAACACGAGATTCAAATGGAAGCGAAATCGAAGCTAATCGCGGTCTGAAAATTGCAAATACTCACTAAACAATAGCGTTTTCTAATGGAGAGCTCAGACAAAAACGAAAGAGTGAAACTCACCGGAGACCGCGATGCAGGGAAACCGGACGGCGGAGCTTACCGGAGATCCATCGCCGTTGAGACGAGACTGAATCGAAGACGGCGGGCGGAGATTGGATGAAAGAAATATCAACGGCCAGATTTGATTTGATCGGACCTCAAAATCAATACTGTTCACAGTTGTTCTCTCTCCCGCTTTTGGAGTGGTTAGTCTCTAACTCCCATTCGCGAGTAGCGGAAGGGGGTTTAACGAATAATTAAACTTTCTCTTTTTTAAATTCGAAATCAAGGAAGAAAATTACGGGCAGTGGTAATATGTGCGCATTAGTTTGCCACGTGGGTGTGCGTCGTTCGTTCGACGGTAACGTGACGGGTTCTGATGTGATTTGGGTTGTGTGACGTTACTGGGCCCTGAGATGTCCAATGGCAGTGAAGGATGTGACTCCATGGGAGTTAGTCTATACGGACACGTGGTGGTTTTTCCTGACGGTGGTGGTGGGAAAGAAAGATCTGGAACTTGAAATTACCAAATAATTTTTGTTTATTTAATGAATGGAATTAACAATTTAATGGGCCTAATAACAATTTAACACTTTTTATGGGAGAGCAAAAGAAGAAGAAAGAAAATTCTTTGTTGGGCCTCATTGACTCACTAGTCTTTTAGCCTTTAACCCGGCCCAAGGCATTCCATTAAGGGCTATTCTCTAGTGGGAACATCATTTTGCAAACCTCTATATGGGAACACCATTGGATCAAATCTAACGGATGATAAGAAGCAATTGTAACTCAAAGTGTGTAAAACGATTTCACTGGAACGTGGCTTCCTCCCTCCAAAACAGACGCACTGTGCTCTTGAAGACCACAATATCTCCCTCCAAAAAAAGTTATGTTTCTCTGTCTTTCTCTGTGTCTGGCTGTCTGTCGAAGAACATGGTTTTCTTCTTTTTTCTGGTTTGCTATTCTGTTTGAGGAAAGAGAGCTGTTCAAATCCCATGGGGAGAGCTTTAACCTTAACCCCTCCCCGGCTCGGAGTGGTTGCACACTTTGCCACCATTTTTTCATCAAAAAGAGAGCTGTTCAGTTTTCTGGTTTGGTGATTCAAAACATACAAAGCAAGGTATTATCCCGATGAGCACATGCAATGTAATTCTTTTTGTGTTTTCATTTTGTTGGTTTGATGATTCTGTTCTGTGCACTTGTGAAGCCTTGAGGACCCATCTGGTACCCATCTATGCTCTTGAAGACCACAATATCTCCCTCCAAAAAAGTCGAGCTCTGTTGCTGCTCCATTGTCATATTTCTACAAATTTGGAAGCTCCGAATTCTAAGGTAAGAGATATCCTGTATTTGTGAAATTGAGTATTCGAGGAAAATGTTTGACCAAGTATATGGCCATTAGTTACGCAACTTTTCTTTTGGTTGAATAGTTACGCTACTTTGGATGTTGGTTGTTTTATTGTTTCACTAGAGACTCACAAAGGCTTCCTATGTGGGGCAGAACGGTGTTTGTACATACTAAGATTGACCAGAAAAAACAGATTACGAAGAAACTATAGTATTGTTGATTAGGACAACCGATTAATAGGAATGCCATACATCAGTAGTTTAGAACTCTTTCACAGATTAAGAATAAACTATGCTAGCAACAAGCTGTGTTAACTGGTTGATTTGCCATACATCACAAGTTCAAAAATGGTTTTCACATATTAAGAATAAACTATGCTAGAAATAATCTGTGTTCAAGGTTTCATTTGCCATACATCAAAAGTTCAGAGTACAAAAAGAGTTAAAGGACAACATGGGAAGGCAGCGGGATGACATAAACGTCGATGCACTGAGTGCAGGATAGAAGAAGATGTCCAAGACTTGTGAGCCCGTAAGCAAATATATCGTATATATTAGTTGAATATATTTCCTTTTAATGATTTGTCATTATTTATGCATTTTTGTTTCGATGTTGCAGTTCATGTCCTGACGCAGACATTGGTGCTCCAGTTGCTGAGAAGTCCTGACGGTGGTGGTGGGAAAGAAAGATCTGGAACTTGAAATTACCAAATAATTTTTGTTTATTTAATGAATGGAATTAACAATTTAATGGGCCTAATAACAATTTAACACTTTTTATGGGAGAGCAAAAGAAGAAGAAAGAAAATTCTTTGTTGGGCCTCATTGACTCACTAGTCTTTTAGCCTTTAACCCGGCCCAAGGCATTCCATTAAGGGCTATTCTCTAGTGGGAACATCATTTTGCAAACCTCTATATGGGAACACCATTGGATCAAATCTAACGGATGATAAGAAGCAATTGTAACTCAAAGTGTGTAAAACGATTTCACTGGAACGTGGCTTCCTCCCTCCAAAACAGACGCACTGTGCTCTTGAAGACCACAATATCTCCCTCCAAAAAAAGTTATGTTTCTCTGTCTTTCTCTGTGTCTGGCTGTCTGTCGAAGAACATGGTTTTCTTCTTTTTTCTGGTTTGCTATTCTGTTTGAGGAAAGAGAGCTGTTCAAATCCCATGGGGAGAGCTTTAACCTTAACCCCTCCCCGGCTCGGAGTGGTTGCACACTTTGCCACCATTTTTTCATCAAAAAGAGAGCTGTTCAGTTTTCTGGTTTGGTGATTCAAAACATACAAAGCAAGGTATTATCCCGATGAGCACATGCAATGTAATTCTTTTTGTGTTTTCATTTTGTTGGTTTGATGATTCTGTTCTGTGCACTTGTGAAGCCTTGAGGACCCATCTGGTACCCATCTATGCTCTTGAAGACCACAATATCTCCCTCCAAAAACAAATGCTCTCTTGAAGAACACAATTTTTTTTTTCTGGTTTGATATTCTCCTCCCTCCCTCCCTACCTATGCTAGCAACAAGCTGTGTTAACTGGTTGATTTGCCATACATCACAAGTTCAAAAATGGTTTTCACATATTAAGAATAAACTATGCTAGAAATAATATGTGTTCAAGGTTTCATTTGCCATACATCAAAAGTTCAGAGTACAAAAAGAGTTAAAGGACAACATGGGAAGGCAGCGGGATGACATAAACGTCGATGCACTGAGTGCAGGATAGAAGAAGATGTCCAAGACTTGTGAGCCCGTAAGCAAATATATCGTATATATTAGTTGAATATATTTCCTTTTAATGATTTGTCATTATTTATGCATTTTTGTTTCGATGTTGCAGTTCATGTCCTGACGCAGACATTGGTGCTCCAGTTGCTGAGAATATGCAACCCACTCAGAGAGCGTAGAACAGTGAAGGTACTCAGCCAAATATGACACATGCATTTATGCGGGAGTTTGATTTAATTCACGGACCCTGCGTTTGAGTATGTAGTGATACCTTTTGGCGTTGTTTTTGAATGTTTGGGAAGCTTTTGTGACATTTATGTAATCGGTTCATGTCTGTTAGGTTTTTTCTTGGTTGAAAATTAGCGATATTGATACTGAAGGTGCCTAAGGGACCCAGAACATTGAACCAAGTATGACATGGGCATTTATGCATGCATTAACACGAACCCTGAGCCTGAGTAGCTAGTGATACATGTTTATGTTGGTTGTGAATGCTCGGCAAGCGTTTATGGCACTTCTGTGATCGGTTCATGTCTGGTAGGTTTTTATTTCTTTGTAGAAAATTAGTGATAATGATATTGAAGGTGCCTATGCAGAGGACCCATAACAGTGAACGTACTAAGCCAAGTATGGCGGGTATTTCTGTTGTACAATTAAACACTCCAAGACCTTGTTTTCAATGGATTTATGAACAAATAATGTAAACAAGGAATAAAAATAGTGCTACAGATCCCTGCTCCCGCCCCCCACCCACGGAACCCAGCCTGCATATGCAAGAGAGGAGCAGAAAATAGAGAGCAAAACTGGAGAAATACTCCACAATTTTTCACAAAAAAACCACCAGAAGTTCAAGTTCCCAAACAATGAGATTCGAATCCACCGCATATAACAACAAAGTGAACAATGCCCTCCTCTAAGCTTGTTCAAACTTGTGGACCCCTGGTAAATAAAGCAAGCATGCTATCTAATATATTAATAACATATGGGAGTTTGTGAGCATGTTGAGCATGCTATGTTGTCTGTAGGAAACAAATATGAGAGTTTCTGAGCATGTTTAGCATGCTGGGTATGGGTAAGGTCAATATATTAAGTTTTAATCAATAGGAACGTATGGGAAGAACAATATTATATATATATGAATGTATATATATTTGATTGGTTCGGTTTTGGTTGGATTTTAAAAACTTGATCCGCCATCCAAACCGATCCAATTGGATTTTCAATTTTCTGATCCAATCCAATCCGCCGATGTTGTCGAAACCAATAAAAATTGGATTGGATTGGATTGCATATTCTCTTCTCCTTAAAGCTCCAAAATTCTAATTATGAATTACAAAAATACAAGCACAATGATAAAAACTCAACTTTGTTCATAGACAAATCAAAACATTCTATCACATACACTCTTGTTTCTTTGATCAAATGATTCTCATTAATTTAAATATATGAAATTATGTTTAAGAATTGTTTAAGATAAAACACAATAAATTACAAAAACATGACACGTGTTACCATCATATAAGGCTAAACCCTAGAACCGCTGATAGGGGTACTCTTTAGAAGCTACCACATGTGAAGCTATTATATTTCATATTATTTCCCTACGATTTGACTTCTAAAATTCATAATTAAAAAATTAAAAACCAAAAAAATACACCGAAAATTCATTCAAATGCCTTGTCATATTCTCTTCTCCTTAAAGCTCCAAAATTCTAATTATGAATTACAAAAATACAAGCACAATGATAAAAACTCAACTTTGTTCATAGACAAATCAAAACATTCTATCACATACACTCTTGTTTCTTTGATTCAATGATTTCCATTAATTCAAATATGTAGAATCATGATTTTTGGTGTATTTTTCTTATTTGTAGCAATTTTTGGTGTATTTTTCTTATTTGTATTTAATTTCTTATGAATTTGTTAAAGATAAAGACAATGAATAACAAAAAAAATGACATGTGTCGCTATCTGATAGGGCCACATTTCTGAAATGCTGACGAAGTGGCTTTAAGAAGCTGACGTGTCAATCTTCAACTATTTCATTTTATTTTTATACGATTTAACTTCTAAAATTCACAATAAATAAATTACCAATTAGAAAAATACACAAGCCATAACATATGGCAAATTTGAGAAATGATACAACTAACACCTTGTAAACCCTAAACCCTGTAAACCCTAAACCCTAA